AAGCTTTTTGAAAAATAATTTAAAATAATTTTTTCAAATAATTTCATAAACATTATCATTTTATTAGAGGTGCCAGACTAGTTTACCAAGTAAACCTTAAGTTTGCAATTGAAAGGTAGGAAAAGAAACCCATTCTAAGGGTAGGATATATGGGAAATATGGGAACCAGCTTTTCCAGAAGCATGTTGCTGCATGCTTAGAGAAATACATTCACAGTTCCCGTAGATAATCAATAGACATACTCCCGAATTCAACAGAGGCCAGTTTGAAAAATTGCGAAGTGGCTTTAAAGCACACCTTCCAACATCAATACCTCTGATTACCCTGCAGTTTTTATGCTTTGAATCAATACTTCCACACTTAAAGGAAACAAGCTGCAGACAACAATGTTTAGAGCTGCTACAAGAATCCGGACTTTCAAAAGCTTGTTTAGCCTCTCTGCTCTCTAAACCGACGGGCCGCAGTCGCACATTGATGAAAGGCGCTTCTCTGCCGAGGCCGTGTAACTAGGCGCAGCCTGTGTTACTGTCAGCTCCGGCAAGCATCTGCTAGTATGTCATGTGTAAAGGTCAAGCTGGTTTCTGCTCCTCTCCACGTGAAAGGAGGAGAGAAAATAACACCTATCAAAAGGTTTTTGTGGATGTCAAATGCAGGAACTGCAATGAGAAGCAAGAGTGATACAGGGATACAAATAACGATTTTATAAATGGGGGCTATGTAGACGATGAAATGAGTTAAATCTCTTTTCTGTAATCAAAGCTAGTGATATTTGTAATGGACAGGAATGCTATTCTATTCAATGACAATATTCATTTTGATCTATTCCGATGTCTCATATTTTTATTTTTTTTTTTTCAAATATCTGTAAATTAAGTTTAATACAAATTTCAGTTTGTCACAATTCATACACTGCAAAAACTGTCTGAAAATTAGTAAAAAAATTCTTAAAATAAGTGTATTTACCCTTCATTTGAGTAGGAAAATAAGATCATTTGCAGATGAAATGAGTATTTTTAACCTTAAAAAAAGATAATTAGATAATATGCACTTGAAATAAGAGACTGCAATTGTTTTTTCTTATTTTAAATGTATTTTGTCTTATTCCATTGGCAAAGTGTCTCACTTACCTACTCAAGATAAAGTGCACTTATTTTAAGAAAAAATGACTAACTTAATAGTAACATTTTTTGCAAAGTATTTTTTCCAAGTTAAACATATAAATGGACGCACAGAATAGAAGAAATAGAAAAAAATGATGAAATAAGGAGTGATATTTAAACCGGAATGGACAAAGAGTTAAAATGATGAAGAAATAGAAAGATAAAAATAAACGATTAGACGGGTGGAAGAACGGATGAAAAAATCCTCATTTTATAGAGAATACGCAAAATCAGAAATAGTAATAATATTTTTAGACATAAACAATATGAGAAAAACTAAAATATCACAAGAAAAGTCTGTGCTGGTCTTAAGGTCTGAGATATCAGCGGGATCAGTATCCAATAAAACCTGACCGAGCTGCAGAGGGAGCAGTAGGAATTTAATTTCTCTCATTGCTGGCGTATGACACTCTAAAACAGAGAGGGCTAAATGACGGGGGTGAGGGGAATTATGGGAGTTCAGAGAAAGAAAGGAAAAAAGAAAGACAGATAATAAGATTAAGGAGGAAATTACAAGGACCAAGAGGGATATGCAGAAGGTAGTGGGAAATAGAGATTGTGATACAGAGGCAGAAGGGAATTATGCTGAGGAAGCGAAGAGTAAAAGAAATGCAGAGAGGGAGAAAAAAACAATGGATGGATAGATGTGGGGTCTTTTTATTGATATTATCACTCAGAAAATAATAACACAAGTGACCGAGTAAAAAAACCTCATTTCACATAATGAGTATTCTAATCAAGAGATTCTATTATCTCGCATGTCAGAGCCAGGAGAGATTGGAGCCACCGGCAACTGTGTGTTGGCAATGGTCAGATACTAAATGGCTTCATGCCATCTAAAACTGTACTCATAGTGCAGAGCAATTACAGTGCATGCCTATGCTCGAGTAAAACCCTCAGAATACACCCCAAAACACAACTCAGTCTGTGTTTATGTTTGCCAGCTGGAATAAGCTCAACCTATTGGAAGCGCAGCCTCATTGTGGGAGTTAGACATGAAAGGGCTTTCAATTTCACTCAGCAAAAAGCTCTACATCGCTTTATTTATATTTGCTTTTATATAATCAATAGAAACACTGTGCTTTCAATTAACCCCGGCAGCAGACGCCTCATAGAAAAGCTCATTTTCTCAACTAACATGTACATTATTTATATGTGAATTAATACATAAAATAGTTATTCACATTTTTTCTATAAGATTTCAAAAAAGCTCCCTGATGATTGTGTGAAATGATAGTAAAGACTCTGAGGAGGAGTCTGACACAGAGCACCATCTTTTGAGGTATTTCCACAAAGTGAGAAACACACTCGCACACCAATCAGTCTGAGAGCAACAACTGTCACCGATTTTCCACTGAGAGTCACCACAGGGTCATTTCAACAGCTGTTCATCTCCCTTAGCCAATCAAACGGGGAGAAGCGGGATCAACAACCGAGCATAAATACATGGCAATTAAAGAGCCTCAAATTAATCCAAACAATCAACCCCTCTTTGTTTTCACAGCTTCATAAAAAATAAACATTTCCTCTTTAGATTGCATTAATTTGGATATTAGCTATTTATAACCTTTAAAAAATTTGTTAGCAGATCTCTGCATTCATAAAAACATGATGAGACCAGCGGTGCAAGAACTAAGCCAAAAAGCAGAGTGGGGATAAGAAATTAAATCTTCCCAGCTCCCATAGAAATTAGGCGCTAAGCAGAAGCCAGGTGTTTCCAATCTAATTCACTTGATTAACGTATCATAAGCAGGTGTGGGCTCCTCTTTAAAAGCTTATGTTTTGAAGGCCTGCAGGTCTGGATCAGTCAGGCAACGTAAAGCAGAGGCAAAAAAAGCATCAGTAATAACATCACAGAGTTAGTCAGAACTAATAGGTGTTCATCAGTGTATGACTGAAGCAGAACAACTATTAAAGTAAATTCTTTTAGGAAGTCATAGTACTGCTTGACTACAACACTAATAAATCCAAACAACTGAGTTATCATCTTCTGAAAAGTCAAGAAGCTTTATGTCCAGCATCAAAACTTTTGCACTAAGCATTCATAAACAGATATAGATCAATTACAATATCAGCAGGAATCATACACAGTTTTATTACTTATACTGTGGGATGTTAAAAAAAAGATTGATCAAGTGATATACAGTAAGTCAAACAGAACTTCAACAGAAATATGAGAACAACTGATCCATGTATTATTGACCAGCGGCTCACTTAAACTTTGAGCAGAAGTGGTTTTAAACGGAGTACTTTCTTATATTGAATATTTTAAATTCAGGGCGATTTATTCTGATATTTACTTTTTGACTAATAACATATTGATTTCAGGTATCGATATTGGATGGTAAATGACCTGCACTTAAATAGCACCTTTTCAAATCAGGAGAATTGACCAAAGCTCTTTACACCACATGCAGTCATTCATCCATTCACACACTGATGTTGGTCAGCTGCACTGTAGCCAGAGCCACCCTGGGGCTCCCTGACAGAAGCAATGCTGCAGTGCATGGGAGCCAACGGGTGCGGGTGAAGTGTCTTGACAAAGGACATGACCACGCTGAAAGATGGAGCTGGGGCTTGAAGGTAAAAACCTCCTGCATCCGACGCCCCTATCACCCCAAGCCTTGCAGAATAGAGCAATCATGTAGACTCTTGTCAATCTTTGGCCTAAATGCTAGGCATTACCAGAAAGGGTTACATGAACATTCCCCTGAAGACACCATCGCCATGGTGAAACAGGGTGGTGGTAGCATTGTGATGGGGAGACTACAAAATCCCATCTCAACATTATAATTTAAAACACTATACACCCAAATCAGACCAAATCAGAACCAGATTATAACTGACCTTCTACTTCTGCTGTACCCCCAAATAGCTTTTTTATTTTATTGTATTTTTTTTTAGATTAAATAATACTACTTTAGCAATAGTATCTAGGTGTTACGTTATTCTATGTCTCGTACCATGTCCGTAGGTTGTGCTGTTCTTTTTTTACATCTCTTTGCAGGTGATGAAGCAGACTGAAAATGTTTTATCATTATCTCCCTTTTATCTTCTTTCTTTTATCTTTTCTCCTTTTTTTCTGTTTTTCCTTTCCTGTTCTACCTACATTGCAGTATCCATATAGTCAGTAAAACTCCCTGCATAATGATAATAAAGCAATTTCTATGCATAAATCAAGCGGAACACTATGGCGATAGCCGTACTGCTCCACTTGTAAAAGTAAAATAGCTGGGATTTTAACATTGCCCAAAACAACTGTTTTGTTGGGGGGATTTTTTTGCATAACAGAGCAGCCTTACGATTGCTATTCCCTTGGATTTAGTTTTCCAGAGGCTAAAGTGAAGCCATCTGTCTAATAGTTTAACTTGAATTAAGCCAATGAACTTAGTCATGATCTAACCTTGCATGGTGGAAGGTTTTACAAACTCAAACTTCCAGGTATTGCTGCTAGAATTGGCTCCAGAGATTTTTGCACCATGAGTTGCTTATAGAAAATAATAACACTGTTAAGGGAATCAAATGCATCATTTGTTTAGGGCTATACTGACCTAATTTTAAGGTTCACTACAGAAAATGATACAGAACATTTCATAATCAAAATTATTCTAACATGTAAGATATTTAAATTCTAAATATATGCTTTTCAGTGTTTTATTCTTTATTTTTGACAGTGACTGCCATAGCAGCTTGAGGATTATTTAAGTAAGAAGTGGACATGCCAAATTCACAGATATTTAATATTCAGTGATTGATAACCATCTTCCACTTTTTAAAACTTTAAATATTACCAAGCAGACACAAAAACAACACTAGTTATGTCACTGTTGCTAAACTAACCTGCAGCACAGCCTGGATTTTGGCAGAAACATCAGCCTGCTCGTAGAGCTTGATCTCCTCCTCATGGGTCACAGCCGGAGTTTGTGCAGCGATCTGCTGCATGTGGGCCAGCACCACACTGTGAGCCTGGGCAACCGCCTTGAACTTGTCAAACAAAAGCTCCAGCAGATCCAACAGCAGCCTGCAGAGGGAGCCAGAGAGAGCAGCATAAGAGGGTGAGATGTGAGGAGAGGTGGATAATGGAGAGATGAAGAGGACTTAAGGGAATGTTACGAGAGAAAATAACATTACAGTACAGGAAAAAAAAGAAATAAACCAGTTGAACAAATAGTAATTTATCTATGAATACAGAGTTTGTGAAAATATATGATTTGCAAATGAAGATAAAAGTGTTTTTTACAGCTTGGTGTTAATTAGCAGTTCTCAGTACCTGGATGCCTGTACATGGATCCAAATGAAAAGCTGCTCTCATTAGTACTAAATGGCTCTGGTTGAAGAAGAGAGAGCATATCCAAAACCAAACTGACCTTCCACTAGATCTGAGAGCCCTACTTAGGACTGAAAGCTCACAGTTGCTTCATCTGCACTAATGCTTTCAACCAGACTCAGCTGTGCCTACTTTTGGCAGAAGGACGAAGCTTTCGAAGCAAAGAGGGAACACAGGTTATATTAGATGAGAACCATGATAGCGAGTAACTACTTTATGTTAGAGGGGGAGTATAGCAAATAATGAAATAATGACTGTCTGCAGTAACTCTTTTGGTTGAGCCTTTATTTAGGTCAGCCAGCAGTTTCCCAACTGGAATATCGTCCAACAAACGTTTAGTCAAATAAATTGGTAATTATATTAGTTAAAATTTTAAATATTATGACACACGTGGTGTATCTTGAATCTTCAGTGTAAAGCTGGGTGTTGGAGAGGTTAGTGCCGTTATATTAGACTGGAAAATGATTCATAGAATCCTCAGGTGGGTTACGTTGTTTAGTTAAGGGCCCAGATAATCCATGATCCAATTGAAGCACTCTAGACTCTGCAACCAAGCAGTCTCTTTTCAATTGATCTTGTGAACTATGATTGTAATGTCTAACCCAAAAAAACGTCTTTCCCAGTGAGTTATAAAGTAGCTGCTGGATCAAATATCCCACAGAGTTGTAGCTGTTCTTCTCAAACTCCTTTCAGTAGAGTAATCCAGCAGTAATGTAAACCACACTTTGAAAAGTTATTTCTTGACACTTTTTCTGCCACTTGGTAACGGCTCAGGGCGTGCTCTGTCCCTGCTTGCATCTTACACCTTGCCGCTATCCGCTGGACTGTCTCATGGGCCTTATGCGATAGAGTAAACCTTGGATCCTGCCTTCTGAAATAGTTCCCCTGCATTAATGGGCCGTATTCTGTCAGGATCAGAACGTTGTTGCCTTCCTTCAGGCGGCTTTTTCTGAGGAGGAGACTACTAAAAAATGCATCAATAAAACCATCATTATTCAGTAGACTAAAAAGAAGAAAGAAGATATCGCAAGTTAGGAGAGCAAGCAGCTGTCATAGACGGTCAATCTATGCCTAAAGCCCTACAAAACATGGTGAAGACTGGAACTTCTTTGAATGCCATGAATGCCTAAGTACATGAAATGTTCCTCATTTTTCTTTCTTTGTCTCGAATCCTCTTTGGAACTTCATATTATCTGCATCTAATGCTCATTCAGAGTCTAAAAATTTTATATATCTATATATTGCATAGTCTGTCAGTGTGTTTAATGTATTTCAGTGATTAAAAGGTGCTTCGTGAGATATTTAAACCTAAAGGTTTGGTTTTATTTCCTGCTCTATACTGAACGCATTAAAAGACTATTAAACTATTAAAAAGTAAAACAATCATCCATCTGCAGGGAAAGTTAAGAGGTAGATAAATAACCTATGATTTTAACCTTGTCACCTTTTGCCATTACTACAATGCTCCCCACATACACTATCATACACACATCTATAGATAGGCACTGAAGAGTAGACGACCAAGTCTTCCTCATTATCTCCCAGCGGAGGCCATCCTAATCCATAACGTCGGTTCCTTGAGACCTCTCGTCTCATTTCCTCTCAGGATCGAAGCTGACACCAGTCGCTCATGAAAAGTCGAGAGAAATAGCAGAGAGTCTCTGACTAACTGGCCAGCAGCAGGAAAGTGCGTGACTCATTGTAGAAAGACAACAGCGGCATAAAAATTAGATTATCATTAGACTGAGCGTCAGTCAAAGATCATTAAATTACTGTAAATAGGGTTCTGATGTGCTGAGTGAACACTTGTGAAATATTAAGTGTGCCTGGTCATCTTGCTGTCAGGGAAAAAAAAAAAACGGATGTCATTTGCACAGATTCGTCACAGCAATATTTCAAGGAACTTCTCAGCTGAACAGCTGGATATGAACTAAAATGCTTTGGATTTGGCTTTAAAATTACCCCCCAAAAAAGATATATATATTTTTTTTTAATCGCTCAATAGATTGCCTTAGACTATGAAGGGGGAAAAAAAGATTTTCATTTTCTTTCCTAAATCAAACATTTCCCTTATACAATCAATCCTTCACAGGTTTTAAGGGTAAATATAATGTTTCCAGAAACAGTTGTACACCATGATGGAAAACTTGAATGTATTTCCAAAAAAAACACAAAGTAAATATGAGGCAACGTGAAGTTAATAAAATATGTTTAAGATCAACTACAAACCTATCAAGGCATGCTCATCCACTTAAACTCGTAAATGTAGGCACTCATTGGTAACTCTGAAGAGACAGAGATTCACAAGACAGCCATTCTTCCTGCAATCCACAATGGGAGAAGCAAGCCTCAACAAGCTATGCAGAAGACAAAGCAAACGTGGAATAGAGACTCTTACATCTTTCCCACTTTTTTTAAACCCAAGAACAATCTGGTATTTGTGGAAATAGGGAAAGCTCACTGCCACGTCCCTACCCAGGTCAAACGACTCAGCAAGCAACCTGCGTTAAAATTGCCCCAGCTCTGATCGGCATGCTGTGGGAACACCACACCCGGGTTGACCTGCTAAATTACGGGACACCATTGAACACAACGTATGGACATCAAGACACCGTGCCAGTCCCTTTAAACTCTGTTTACATTCGATAAACATGGCACATCGCTGGTAAGAGGGATTTGGACAGATACAAGAGCGACATAATAAAGAATACTGACTACGCTCAGGCTTCCTAACTAGTTGCTTCCCATTGTTTACTTTCCTGATTTTTGTCACACTGTCGACATAATCAATGCTCGCCCAGCGTGATGCCGTCATCAGACTCACAGTGGCGGGGGACAGCGGCCATGCAGCTTTCCAACAAGGGGTGAGACTCCGCTTTTTGATCAGATGTAAAAAGAGCCAAAAGCCGATTGTTAGCAGGTCAACCCAGTTTTGAAAAAGCCAGCTTTTCAGTTGGCAAATGGACCAGCAGTAAAAGAAAAATGCAAAAAAAAAAAAAAAGAAAAGTCAAACTGCAGATTCCAACAAACACATCATCCACCATCCCTGGAACACTGCCAACTACCATTCCTCTTAAATTTAGCTTTTGTGCTTAAATCTTTGATTCATTCTCTAAGTTTAAATAAAACACAGCCAACCTTCCTTCCACTTGACCACTTGGTTCTACTTCCTATTGTTCTATTACTTAAAATAAAGTACACCGCTCTGAGGCAATAACATGGAATGTATCAACACTTTTATAAATAGTTGAATGAGAATAACAATAAGGAAGTTACACACTCCTGTTTAAGTAATAAAGAGTTTAAGTATCGCTTGCTGGTCTGCAGTGCTGTAAAATATAGTGTGCAATATTCAAGACCATTGTTCCCGACAAGTGCTACATCAGGTGGAGTTTCCATAGCAACAAGCATTGACTTTAAATTGAAGTGAACATAGAGAGAACCAGCAGTATATGCATCCAAATACAAACACACACACGCTCTAAAGTGTTAAGTGCTCGCAGACGCACACATGCAAGCAAATTCAGAAACAATCTGCTGAGCATAGGACCTAAAATGAGCTACATGGCGGCCTATTACACCGAGGTCAAATGAGATACGCACAGCGAAAGGAGAAACAAAGCAGACGGGGCTGACGAGAACATCCCTGACAGAAAACAAGACGTCCCTCTTAAATGGTTCGGGATCAGTGGAGTGAGACCTGTGCTTCTCAGGACTGGATGCTGCATGTGAACGTCTGCAGCAGCTAACGTGACGGCTTTTAAAAATGTGGCAGTCCTATAAGGCAGGTGCACAATTGCTTCTAAGGGTGTGTTTAAGCATGACGTGTCTTTGTTTAAAGCAGCAGAGTGTTTGTTTTCATGGTCTGAGGCCGGCTGGCTCTGCAGCACTTGGCTTTGCTCTGTTTCACACCTGGTTGACTGTCTGACTGTGAGCATTGAGGGACTGAATTGAAAACAGCCATAAATATATCCACCAGACCCGTGCTATTCAGCATATTGATATTGATGCAATAATCAGCTCTTCTGTTTAACTAAGAACCTGCAGGGAGAAAGGCAAACCCGCACTCCTCCAATCAATGGACAGAGTGGCCGTCTTTTATTTAATAACACTGGGAAACAGATCCTAATGGGAATACCATTGTTTCAAAATAATAAGCAAACTGGCAGCTTAATAAAACTCTTATACAGATCCAATACTGCTGGGGATACAAGTTGCAGCTTTATTAAGATATTTTTCAGAGATGATATCAGCTTGCAGCATGCTGCTGTTAATAATCGATTTTTCAAATTAAACTTAATATTCTAATGAAGAAAGTAATGTTTACTTTGACAAAACTGATTTTATCTGCTTATTTAAGACTTTCTCTGTAAACTTTTTTTTTCTTTTTTTCATTTGCAGATCATTAGACTTTGCTGTACCTTGGCTGGCTCTCCTGGGCCAGGTTTTCTCCTCTCTGGTAAGCGTGATCTGCTATCTGAGTGGTGGATCTCTTGACGATCTGTTTCAGTTCGGGCTCCAGTCGCTCCATTATGGCTTTAGTGGTTTCGGGAAGCTTCTTTAGTTTGGCAAGAGCCTGCAGAAAATGACCAAGATGCACGTTTAAAATCCTCAGAGAAATAAACGCCAAATGTCAAACCCTTGAACCGTTTCACATTTCATCAACCTCATAAATTTCCCCATTGTGGGACAATAAAGGGATTATCTATTCTATTCTATTGTAAAGATCAATGCATTTCATTACGATATTATGGACAGATTGGCAATTTTAGGACGGTAAGTGAAAGAAAAATTACACACCATTTTCACTATAGATTTTCTTTATTTTTTTTAAAGGTATAGTGGAGGATTTTCGGGATTTTTTTTTAAAAGACCCACCTTCTCCACTTAAAAAAAAAATGCACATGCATAAAACTATACACGCTCCCTAGAAGGATTGCCTATTAAACATTGGTGAGAGCATACAACAGCCCATTTTTACTCGTGCACGCTCTGTTTAATAGTTGCTCTTTGCATCACTCATACAAGCTTACTTTCCAAAAGATTTGCAATTTTTCCACTATTCCAGACTCACCACCGTTAAGTGAAAATGGGGACGAGCACGTTGGACGGCCTTACGTAAAACATATCATCAGGATGATTGACAATTAGGAAGACCATTTATTTTTATGATCCACTTCGAAAAAGAACATCCTCCACTATACCTTAAAGGCATACTTTGAACCTAAACAACAAATAAGAATGGCAGCATCATGCCCCATGGCGCTACTTTTCTAAAATAAACCGTGGTTTTAGCAACGGTGGAGGACAGTATAACCAACCCAAAACTCGTCTTAGTTTGGATCCACACAAAAAAGTTCAAGATGAAGATGGATTAAAAATACCCTATTGAAAAAGAATAAAGGGAACATTGAATCAGTAATAATATGAACACTTGCATTGAGATGGAACAATAATTTTACCTCCAACTTTTCCAGATTTGGTCAAATCACAACCATGAACCTTAATGTATTCTATTGGGATACTTGGTGACAACACGAGGTGGAGAACTTATGATTTCCCCAACAGAATTATCTATCAAAACCTCTTCCAAAACCAACTTTGGCCTCTACCAGCATTGCATTTAGAGATTGAGTTTACATCACTCATGCAAGCTTACTTTCCAAAAGAAGATTTGCAATTTTCCCACTATGTCAGACTCACCACTGGTAAGTGGAAATGAGGACGAGGAGCACGTAAACATGTCACCAGAATGATTGACAATAGGAGGACCATTTATTGTGATAATCCACCGGGTCAAAGAACATCCTCCACTATACCTTTAGATCAACACATATACCTTGATGAGAATGCCCATGAACTCAGCGCTGTTTTCCTCTGGATCCACCTCAGAAAGATCTGCTTGACTCAGATCCCAAATATCCTGCTGCTGCTCACGCACTAAAAAAACAAAAAAAAGTAGATTTAAACCAATGAAACTATGTCTCTTTCATGCATGTATGTCAATATATATTTATATCTATTAAATGCTTTTAGTATTTTTACATCTTAATCTTTTAAGCCCACACACCTGCACCTGCCCCCCTATCCCCCACCCCCCCAGTACTCTGAGCAGCTGAGTTAGCCACATTAGCAGCTAAATTGAGAATGGCAGTATCGAGTGATGCTCTAATTTCCATTAGATGGGGCCTCCCAATTCCCCATCAAAGCACGTTAGGGGAGTTAATGTTTATAGCAAGTTAATGGACTTTGGGTGTATTTCCTCTTTTCACCCATTCCGACTGCAGCCTGTGTAATAATTATGACAATTACTATCTACAAATGAGGTGCTTTAATGCTATTAGACAAAATGGAAAGGCAGGCCTCTGATGGAAGCCAGTTGCTATGTCGTGACCGCAGTTGTTAACATGGTGGTATATAGGCACTTAACGCCCGGTGGCGGCTAATTGTTAAGAGTTCAGTTTGTGTAACGAGAGGGGAAACTGTGGTCGAGCTTTTACTTTTCTGTCCACAGTGACGGGGAAAATGATCAGATATTTATGAAGCATTAGAAGCAATTCATAGATTTTTTTTTTTCCCCAGCTGTTTACTCATTTGAGGTCAAAGCAAGCAGGCTCAGAGGTGGATGCAATCATGTAAAGAAATAAAGAGCTGCTAAAATCTTTACACCAATATAAGTGAGTAGAAATAGTTAAAACCAAACAGAAACCTGTTTGGTATCCGCTGAGCTAAAACCAGCGAGTCGTTAAATTCGAATGCCAAGAGTGGGTGGTGGGAAAAAAATACCAGCCTTATAAAAAAAATAAATATAAAAAAAAATGTAACTCCCAGGGAATGCCAAGTTATTGCTGGATTAACTTTTTTCATTATCTTGGTGTTTGTGTTCCTCGGTGCTCTGCCTTGAAGAAATGTAGTGCTGACTCTACACCCCTACCACCGAGACCTCATACATTTCTGAACACAGTTAGGGATCCGTCTTTTCAGCTTCTACCAGTTTGAGCTCATAGACGCAGCTCTCCTGCTGTGAACGCAGAGACACTGGGTGACTAATGGTTCATGTAGGGGGGGACGGGTGATGATTATATTGTTAGAGAAGGGATATATTATGATCAGAGTTGAAGATGTTATGACATGTTCTAGAAGGGGAATGTGGGCATTTCCTAGAGGGAAAATGTTGTGTTTCATTATATTTAGGTCAGCTTTAGTCTTTAAGACAACAAAAATGTTATCTTTTTAAAGTTGTTAATGTATGCCTTAAGAGATTTTAATGTGAACAGACTAAAATGAAAAAACATATGTTACACAGCTTCTCTATGTTAAATATTCTTATTTTCTCATTCCTACTATCAATCTGAGACGCTCTAATAGAATATCTACCACTGCCGGATCCAGGTGTGCTGAACTGTGAAGAATCCAGAAGCTTGCGTGGAGTCGACAGGCTGCTCACTTCCAAAACAGACATGGGAGATGTATCTTTGGTCAAGGACCTGAGAAAAGACACAATTACTGGATATTTTATTTTTCCAAACATAGTCTAGTCATCCAAAGACACTTTCATATGCTTTTAAGCTTTCATCCCTTGAAATTAGCTTCCACTTAGTGTATGTGTGTCAAAAATTGTCCTTTTTTTATCCGACTCATAATGAAAAGAACTAAAATGCTATAGGCTAAGGCTGTAAGGGAACAGACTGACCTTGTTTACCCACTCATTTCCCAAGCTTTTTTCTTATTTAAGTTTTATTTGCTATAATTTCTACCTGAAACTTTCTTTCTGCTTTTTGTGCTCAGTTCATTAACCAGAACTCCTGCTTCTGTCCTCTAAATGAACGAGTCTACTAACAGAGCAGTTGCTGCCATGAGGACTATAGCTGCTTCCTTTATAAAGTACTCCAGGTCAAAAGCTTTTATGTTTTCAGTCTGTCTTCTTTCTGTTCTCTCAGCCTCCAACGAGTCACAGCAGATGGTTCTTCATACAGAGACTGAAGGAGGAGTGCTTTCTTTTTGAAGTCACAACATGTCTCCTCAACATGAGAAAATGCTGCAACATCAGCAGCTAGATGTTACTCCATGAGCTCTTCAAACTGTTAACATTTAACTAACCGACATATCTACCATATTTTACCATAACTTGGGTTGATCTGAACAACATATCTGATCTGGTTATGGTTTGATTTAAATTTTATCTGAATATAAACTAAAGCTACCATCCAGTAAAGTGCATAAAGAAGACTTTTGCAGTTATGTGGCACTATCTAAAAAGAAAAAAACACTTAATGGAATTTGTGGGATTCAAACCTGCACTTGTGTAAACAAAAACAACATCCAGTTGGAATAAAACGCCCCACATCTTTGCCTGGCGAGGATGGTGCTGCTTTCCAATGAGCCATTTATCAAGCTCGAGGTGGCAATCAAATCCAGGTCTGTTAAGTTAGGCGGCATAAACACTGTGTGCCTGTTAAGTGAGTGGGCTGCATGGAAGCTGGTGTGTTGTTAGAGGCAAACCAATACAGGAGGGCTAGAACCTGTCACTAGCTAACCCTGATTAATAAATCATTGTGCTTCACCAACCCACTGCCACTGTAATTATTGCACCCCCACAAATACACACATGGTAAAGTGCAAACAGCTCTTTAAATGAAAGCTTTCCATGGAACACTAAAGCAATAAATGTGAGTTCTTAGCCTGTGGGGGTGCATTATTGCTAATAGGTTAGACAGCAGAATAACCAAAGTTAGAAACTGGCCTTCAGGTCACAGTTTACCTCATTGCGGCTGGTAAACCTATTCTGTCATTTAGATAATCACTGTCAGAAAGCACAAGGAAGGTGGTTTTTTTCTGTCAATATAAAGGACCACAGCAGATAAAGTATGTCTGAAACTGTTAAACATTTTAGTTTTAGTAAGAAAATATCGTCTGCTGCTAAAAATAAACAAACCTAATGCTTGTCGTTTGATTCCTTTTAGGCTTCAAAGGACAAAAAAGATTCAATTATTCATGCTAATGTTCTTGGTTCGTTAAGAAAACAATTGGCAAGTTTTTTTCAGTTGTCATGACATTTAAATTATGAATATATGCAGAGAGGATCGGTAAAAAAACCTTTTTCTTTTCATAATATAAACTTTTTCTATGTTTAAGTGTAGTCTCTCAGGGGAGTAAGGTGTGTGTTTTTGAAGCCAACATCTACTTGTTTTATAGGAAGGTAAAGTTATAGAATAAGAAATATAAAAAATGAACTGGTTTCAATGAAAAACATGTTTGCAAACTGGATACGTTAAGACATGCTGAAATGCTTAAATACGTTAAGACATGCTTTACCCTGGAACTCGGGGAGCGTTTTTGTCCTTGTTCTTGTGTCCGAGGCGACTTGTGGACTTGATGTAGAGGTGCCGGTGCAGCTCATCAATGAGCACTAAGTGGATGTTAAGCTTCTTGTTTTTGAGCTCCAGGCGGAGATCTCCAAGCCCCTCAACCTGAAATAAGGGGCCTTCCAGGGACTCCACGGCTGTCACCTGCAATCAACAAACCAATGAGGAGGTTATCCTTTGCTGTCCTTCATTAAATGTTTGCACAAAAAAAGAAAATTAACTGATATAGCTTCAAAAAGACTTGATTTAATTTGTTAAAAATGCAAGGCTCTAATGAGTATGATCAGTATGCAGCAGTTTACAAAACTACACATTTTATTCTTTTATTAAGCATTTTCCAACCATGATACAAAGGCTAATGCATATTTAATAAGTAAAATGTTTTTCCAAAATTGTTTGACAAATAAAATAAGCCTAAGTCCACCTAAGTGCACACAGTTACTATCAATTTATTTATTCATTGAAATAACAATTTCAGGGAGGTAGCCTGATAAAAATGCAGTGACTGAACCAAAATGAAATCAGAATGGACTTGATTAACCCAAGACGTCTTCTAGGAGGGGAAGGACCACTCATTATACTCTGCTCCTTACGGCATACCAGCAGAGGGACCAGTGAGCCAGACGCCCTCTAGTGGGACAGGCCACTAATTACACCCAGGAGTCATTGGTCCGGACCAGTAACCTGGCAGTACCCAGACTGATATATAGAACTGAGTTGAGTTCTACGTAATCAATGTAGGATGGCCGTGAAGGAGGGACATTTAGTATAATACTTTTAGCGGATTGGGTGATGTGCCAGCTAGTACCCGCCTTCCATAATATGCTTTCAGCCAAACGTAGCATTGAATCGTGACGATTTAACTTGAAACGTCGCGATTTGATGCTACGTTTGGCTCAAAGGACCTTGAACCTTGTGATTTTGTAAAAGCAAAATACTACTGTGCACTTTATTTTTGGTAAGAACCTTAAAACAGATTTCTAATCTGATCTTTTCATGAAGTTTTGTTTTTTTGAAATGTAAAAAATCAAAAGACTAATGTTGTAGTCTTAAGTTTGTTTTATTTAATTAATATTTAGTTCATTTCTATGTCAAGGCTTTACCTCATGGGCAGTTAAAACAAGTTTATAATTGTTCAAGGGCATGTTTTTCAAGAAAACATTGTAACATTGAAAGTGAATTGCGATATTGTAACACAGTGTTGGTTATAGCAAAAAAACACTAAAATCGGTATCAACCAAATTCGGAATCGGCAGGTCAGACTTTTTAAAGATCGGTGATCGGAAATCGGCCGGAAAACTGCAATCGGTGCACCCCTAGTTTCAAGCAGGATTCATCTGCAGCTTCTTGAGTGTCAACTAGCGGAGTAGGCTGATAAATCAACCTTTTTCCAAATCCTGTCGGCAGAGAAGCACAGACATCTTTCCCATCCACAAATGCACAAAGTGCTTCTCTTTGTTCTTTTAAATGAGAAATTGTCGCTGTTTTAGCTAAAATCAAGTCAATTGCATTATGGACAGTTGAGTCTTCCAGCGTAGCCATGTTCGTAAGGCCCTTCTGACTGTCATCATTCCTACATGTCCCGCTCCAAAAAACCCTGCTGGCATGTCATTGGTCCGACTCACTGGTTGTTACTAGATGGATGTATAATCGGGAGTCTTTCAAAATGGATTTGTTGTGAGACTGAACAATCAGATCTCACAACAGTCCAGCTTACAGCGCAAGGTTACCGGATCAGACCATTTCTGCTACAACCCTACATTTTTTTTCCTGTATTTACACAGCAGCAGCAGTTATGCTCTCACTTTATTGAATCTTCCAGCAATAAATAAAATGTTGCCTTTTCTAATGATGTGTTAATGAGGATCCTAAATGAACAAAGAGACAGATGATTCAGCTGCATGCAGTATATCTGCATGGTCCGGACAGGCCAGGAGGGAACAGTTAGAGAGAGAGAGAGGGGAGTGAGGGGGGGAATATGGTGGGCATGGGGCATGGGTCAAGTGTGTGCTGATGCAAATGAGACTCAGACTAGCAAGTGGATGAGTTAATGTGCTTCATGATCAGCCTCCTTTAGCAAAATATAATAACTCCCTATGCCAGCAAGGCTTTGCATGTGATCTCTGTACACACTTACAGTACACACATCTTAGATGTGTCTCAGTCTAATTATATGAGTGTGATTGTGTGCCTGTAAATCACAGAAGAGGTGTGTGTGCCTATGTGTGTGTGGATGGGATGAGGAAGGAAGACTGCTTAACATCATTAGGGAACAGGCCTGTCAGCATAATGAGGAATATGAACCCTCTAGTGAATTTGCAAAGAGAAGCAAAGGTTTATCGCTGGCTTCTCCACTCCAAATGGGGTTTCACCTGCGCACACCTGGATTTTAGTGATACAACAGGAACAAGGGCATAAAAAGGAAAGGCAAGGTTGGCTTTTATAAACCAAACCCATGGGATGCAGTACTGCCATTTCTGAATACAAAGAGTGCTCAGTTTGAATTTTAATTGAGGAGATGAGCCTGGTAAAAATGCATGCACACCATGTTGGTGAGAGTAAACCACAGAGAAGGGAATGTTTGTTCCTGGCAATTAAACTTCTGCTACAGGACAGGAACAAGGGTGTAAACATGCAGGAATTACACAGATTTATACACATTCTGCAACAATCTGTGTTCACATAAACCAGTTTAAAAATGAAATACGAAATAACTGTGGTTATTAATAATCCCATGGTCAGTTTTTAGGTATTTAAAGCATTAAAACTGTTTGATGATTTCAACCAAGCTCTAACAGTGATTGATTATTCTTAATGCAAGTCATAGAATTTAAACACCATCATTCCTGAAAACTCTATCACTCATCAGGGACTTTTGTGCAGGAAGGTTGAGAGGATGAAAAAGACGACGCGACAGTGACATTTTCTTTCCATTCCAACTGAAACACAACATAAGCCCTCATTACTGTCCTCTTATGAGATACTGATTCATTCTGGTCTGAACCTGCAGACCCTGATACACGAAGCATAAAAGCTGTGATTAAAAACCAGTTCATTCAACCAAATGATGACCGCTGACATTTAGTGGAGGAGTTTTTGCTTTTCTATACCGGCTCAGCATTTCTTTGGGTGTGTTTACCATTAAGTTATCCACAAAAAGGTAGAGCTGGCACATTAAAAAAACACCACTAAAAAAAACAACAACAAAAAAGATACTATTACTGATTTCAAAAGATTTCCTAACTAAGAGCAAAAAAAGAAAACTTTCAATCAATTTGACTGAATGATCTGGTGAACTGTAAAGTGCCTTGAGATGACATGTGTTGTGAATTGGCGCTATGGAAATAAACTGAATTGAATTGAAAAGGAGATTGCTTACAATATGACAACATAGGGCCAACCATCTAGTAAATATATAACTCTGATGCCACTTCCTTGTTAATGTGGGGAAACCATGGACAAAAATTCTACTATCCAAGTAGAGACTTTTGATTAAATACGGAAATTATTTATTTCATATAATAAAATTGTTCAGCTTTAGTTTTCCACTGTAGGCTTCCATATTCCCAACAATTTGATGCTGATTCTACTAATGAAGAACTGATAAAGTTTTGTTCTATTTCAAAGTGAATAATTTTTTTAACAAACTTGGATCTGATGCATACGAAACTAATATTTTCACATTGCAAATAAGGATCAAATGTATTCAGCAGCAGCCTTGCACAGTTTCTACTTATTTTGTATAATATTGTCTTTACTGATAAACTTGGTTCCTGCCTTTTTTTTCTGCTATAATTCTCAGCTTCAGTCTGGCTTCACCATATTTAACTTTTTTCTGTGGTAATATCAGGAAAATTGGCTTAGTGTTTTGGATTTTTTTTCTTTAATTATGTCTCCTATGGATAACTTTTTAAAATCAATCAAAATCCAGTGACAGGCTGATTAAGAATATACTGTGTTAGAATTTAGATTAAACTTTATTGTGGGCCTCGGTTCTCAACATGTAATTGGGCTGGACTTAAATTAACTGGATTGATTTAACCTGAACTGAAACAGATTCTACATACCTAGATATGAACTTAACTTAAATTTACAGGATATCTGCTGTGAGTTGGATCTATGCTTATAAATACAGCATGCATGAAATTTAAACTGGCCAAAAAGAAAGGTGAAAGTGTCTTGACATGCTCTTATAAATGCTTTCATCTATTTTAAAGGCGATTTACAACATCATCATAAATGCATTAAGGAAATACATGTTAAGTGCAGCAAAATTTAAAAAAAAAAATATTTTTTTCTATAGGAAAGACTACAAACATCCACCTACTTTAGCTTCAGTCCCACTTGGCTTTAACTCACATACCAAATAAAAACGCCATCAGAGGAGGAAACTGCAGCGCTGCCCCTAACAGCATGTGTAAATATAAAAACCAACAAAGTGCCGTTTATAAAGCTCTCTCTATATGCCAGTAAAAATGGCTGCATCCTCATAAAGTGAAGCAGATTTAAAGTTTGCACGACAAAGGTAATGCACCCAGCTGACTTTGAACTTTTTACAACCTTTTAAAAAACGCACTGTACTGACGGAGCACGGGGTTGAATGGACTTCCATTTTCATCCACCCCCACAAAGAGGATTTTTCACGGCCTTGTGGTTGTGCCACCGTTTCTCTTTTCTCCTCCTCCTCCTCAAATAACCCCCCATCCTAACTAATTATTAGCAGGTTCTAGAGGAGAAAGATGTGTGGGAGTGACATTGGACTGGAAAGTGGTAAAGAGGAAAGTGACGGACAGATCAGAGAGCCTGGTTGTTTTAGTCGTCATCGGCAGCCTTCACCCACCCTACAGAGGATACTGCAATGTTCAACAGTGCACAGAAACGCGCACCACTGCAGTGGCCTGACAGCACTTAGATGATGCGCGTCGCACCCACTGGACCATTCAAGGCTCGAAACGGTTTCTTTAAAGCAGTAAAAGGAGCAAGGAAATCAATCTTTAGTAGCAGCAGTTGGTAAACGTATGTGTTTATTTGTAGATTGGATGATTCGTGTGTTAAAAGGTTAAGGTAAAATAGATCTAAAACGTTCCACTTTCTCAACATTTTTACTCACCAACATATCAGTGGCATGAAGGTAGTGCTTGCTTGCCATATAGGTCTCCAGGCGTTGAGGAACCTGTTTGATGCTTTCAATTTCGTCCAGCAGCTGGAGGACATGCTTGTGTTCGATACCTTCTATCCAAAGCTTCCTCAGCTCGTCCCTCTTACAGTGGAGAAGCATTTTGCAAGACAGCAGGTTCTCCTTTACCTGGAGGAGCAAAGAAGGAAAAGCACTAGGTGACAATGTTATAAACTTTAAACTGATTTTTAGAGTTCATATCAACCTGGAGGTGATTATTAACAAACATTTCATCACTTATTCTTTAAAAGTTGCTATAGAATCAGAGAATTAGGCAACTAAAAATGTCTAAATCTTAGTAAGGGATTTATTTTTATCTCCTCTAATTGAGTCAGGTGTTTATTTGAACATCTGGACATTAAAAGCACCAATAACTCAGGTCTCATCTAAACAAAAGGACAAGGATTACAAATAAAATATTAACAAAGTTGAAATGTTAATTTGAGATATGAAAAATATGTACCTTAAAATACGTTCGATAAAAACATGTCTTTTACGGTTACCTTTAGAACAAAAATAAGGAAACTCTTATTGACACAGTAGAACACCTAAAGGCTTTCTGCTCAACAGACCTCTTTAAATCACATTTTTTCATAGGAAAACTTCAGATACCTCTTAAATCATTATAAATTAGTGAAAAGTTTGAGCATAGTCAATCATTTAATTCATTTAGAATCATTTGAGGCCCCGTCCACAAGAAGTCAAAACGAACACGAAACGCTAATATTTCCCAGAACGTTTGTCGTAAAGACGTAGACGTAAAATAAATGTGCTCGTCCACACGAATGCATGAATGGCTGCAAAATGTATGCCAGGCCTATAAGTGGCGCTGTGGTGCCAAAGCAAAAATAGGCGACGAAATGTTGGGCATGCGCACTAATATTTATACATGGTTTCCCTGCGGGTCCATTTTCGTGGTTCAGTCAAATTCAGGTGCTGAACTATGTCGTTGATATTGCTCTGTTCTTCCTGGAGATATTCCAGAAGAAGAAGATTCTGTTGTAAGCCCGACAGCAGGGTGAGTAGCATTAGCAGCAATCATTCAATACAGTACGGCACAATTGTTGTTGTGATACTGTGTCGCGCATGCGTGTTTAGAGGCGACGCTATGACGCATGCGTGTAAGAAAAAAAATGCGGTTAGAGCTTAAAGATGGAAACGCGAAAACGGTGTTTCAAAATCTTCCCACTCTGAAGGCTTAATTAAAAAAAAGATCGTTTACAGACCCCCGAAACACCGGCTTCGTATGGATGAGAGGCTGGTTTGGTGAAAAATTTGTGTGTTTAGGCCAGGGTTCGGCTTCGTGTGGACGGGGCCTGAATCAAGTTAAATGAATCTCTCTTCAGACTGCTGATAGGTGCAGGAGTTGAAGTGGGATTTCCCAGCTCTGTTTCAGGGTATCTGGATTTGCCTGGTAAACCAGGATGGACATCAGTGCCAGGTGTTAACAGGAAGTCTCTTTTTCATACCTGTTTAATCTTATTGCGGGAGCTGGTGATTCGCTCTGTGATGCTCTGATAGGTCCCGATGGCAGTAGTGAGTTCTGCATAATGCTGAACAATCAGTGTATCTAGATCCCTATCGCAGGTTTCAAAGGCTTCCTCCAGGCGACCCTTTTCTGTCTCCCTGTCCTGCACGTCATCGCTGTTGGACAAAGTCCTGAATGAGACAGAAAATACACCTGGGCTTATTCACAGGCATTAAAACCATTTACTTCATTGTACAAATAATGATATGATAAAATATAAAAAACATTATCTGTGTCCCTGTTGAAGACCAAAGAAATACATTACCTTGCAAAAGTAGTTGCACCTTTTAGTTTTTTAATATATTTAATAATAATAATAATAATTAAACTTTATTGAACCAACCAAATGGCTTCCAAGGTTAGTGAATTAGTAAAAGTACACATTAACAGCATTGGGACTTGCTTAACAGCCAATACCGCACTGTGACGTCGCAAACCGGTAGGTGGCAGTAGTGTTATTTTAAAAACATGGATGTCTCTGGTAAATCACAATGAAATGAAAATTACTCTTAATTAAAAACACTTATCATTTATTAAACAGTACATAATATTTCTTAAATAAAGTGCTTTGAGAAGTTTGTATTCTGAATATGACCAGACTTTTAACAAAGTCAGCTTAAATCTTCAACTCTGAATTGATCTCACTTGAAGTTGGAAATTGTGACCTTTTAATTTCACAAAGGCTGCTATGAGTTATTTTATTCAACTTTTTAGTAGGTTCACGCAGAGTTGAACACGTGCGTAACAACTATGAAAAGCCATTATCAATTAATGCTTAAGGGCTTAATGCTTAAGTGAAGTACACACAGAGATCCTCTAGTCCAGGGGTCGGCAACCCAAACTGCTCAAAGAGCCATATTGGACCAAAAAAACAAAAAATAAATCTGTCTAGAGCTGCAAAAATGTAAAAGTCTTATACATGCCTCGCATGGAAACATGGGCTCCAAGTGTATTATCCCACTATAGAAAATGACTATGTGGGCTTAAATATATAATAATAATTCATTATTAAATCTTTATCCTCGAGCAAATGTCACATAGCAGCATGAGGTGAGGGACGAGCAGTGAACGCTCTCTCCGCTCTGCTTCACCGCGCGGTTTAAGTGTTGATGCATTGATGAAATTATAGAAACAGAATCAAGGAATCTCTCTATGGTGGACGTGTTTCTGTTGGGAGGAGTTGATTGAGTCATGAGGAACCAAGCAGGAACTGACATCATCAGAGCAGAGCTCTCTATCCCCCATCCCAGCATTCCTTGGTGTGATTTATATTTTTAGGATTTGGGGAAAAAATGGAAGAAAGTTTCCATCCCTGCATCAGAGCTCTACCTGTTCGATCTGTGGACGGTTTTCCATCCTTGCAACAAAACTAGCAGCAGTAGTGGAGTTTGGAGATGCAATCCACTTCTTAAATCTACATTTGCTCTCCTCTGATTTATCCAGAAGTTCTGCAATCACCATTTTTCTCTCCCTCCCAGCTTGGTTGTTTAGCTAGCCTTCCCTGGAAATGCCTTTCCAAATTTTTATTTTTTGCCAACCTCTCATTACTAAGCAAAAATGCAGGCAATAGTTCCGCATTGATAATGAAAGAAAATGATTCGGTCCATCCTTTGAATCCTCTTTTCTCATCAGCTATCTTCCTTTTGCTTTATTATAATTATACAGGGAGTATTACAGATTATATGGACACTGCAATGTAAGTAGAACAGGACAGGAAAAAAGGAGAAAAAAAACAAAGAAAGAGGAGATAAAAGGGAGATAACGATAAAACATCTTCAGTCTGCTTAATCACCTGCAAAGAGATGATTTTTTTTATTAAGATATTGATAAAAATATTTCAATTTTGTAGATTTTCAAAGCGGTTAGATACATAAAAGAGAAGACTAGAGGATTGAAATGCAAAACAGGGTGTTAAGGACTGCATTGAATCGGGGAGCCCTTAGTACAAGTACCTGCCACACTTTTCAGTTTTAACTGAAATGATTAAAACTTAGGAAACTGACTATTTTAAAGCTAATTGAAAACTGACGCAGAGCTAAAACTAAACAGAGTGAGAGTGGCTTTTAAAAAGCTAAAAAATGATTTCAAAACAATTTGTTTTAGTTTTACTGTTTTGTTTTGCTTTATTTTTCCAGTTTCTCGGGTTGTGATTAAAATAATACATCAGCTACTTAAAATAACTTGTTGTGGCTGATGTTTAAGTGTCGTTTTCAAATGAACAGAAGTAAGATTCTTAATAAATCTAAAGTATTTCTGTTCCTGAAACATTGAGCGCTTATTTCTGTTAATAATAAAGGAAGGATGTAGCTAGCTACCTCCCTGTAGCCGCTCAGAGCTAGCTGTCATCTCGTCAATGTGCAAATATAAGCAGACTGAATGGTTTCTCGTGTCCTAACTGCAATGTTAGCTTTGAAGATATAATAATGAAAATAACTTTACCTTATGACGGAGATAAGAAGCCCAGAGGGGTCTTTGTTTTTGCTAACAGCACCCCTGTATTTGCCTGTTTCTGCTGCCATTTTTTCCAGCTGCAGCACTAAAACAGGAAGAAGAGAGCGTAAGGTTGCACAGAGGTATTCTGGGAGTTGTAGTTGTGACGTGTAGGCTAGAGTGAGGCATCTGACTCTAAGGATCAGCTGACACAGTTTACTCTTTATGTGAAAAATAAGACAATTTGGATTTAAGTTATCCACCCAAGCCTGGTTTTCTTACTATTTTCTTTTTTTTTGTTGGAGTTAGGCTAGAAAAAAATGAGAAATTTGAGAGTAATCTCAAAGATATTGCCATGTTAAGATAATTTTTTTAAAGTGTTCCGTAAAAGTCAATTATAGACAGGTGTCAGATAGTACAGGCTAACATTGGAACCAAACGACCTCGTCAGGTTCAATTTGCATGTTTCCAAGCAATACAAGGCCTTGTCTATATAAAGCCTCAAACTAATGCAAATCCAGACATTTTGAATTGAGAAAGGTTCCTGGAGGGGAAGAGAAAAGTCTTCAAACCTTGGAAACCAAGTGCAGTGGATTGTTTTTTAAACTTTTACGGAATGACTATGACCTGGATGACTGAGAATCTTCACCAGCATATTTTTTAAAGTGAATTATTTGTGTCATAAATCTACATCTCTCCTCAAACTTAAATTCCTACTTTAGTGAAGCGATATTACACTTATAAATTAATCTGATTCTCTAAGGCAGGGTTCTTCAATGTTTTCCAGGCCAAGGACCCCCAAACTGATGGTGAGATGGAGCAGGGACCCCCTAATTAAATATATATATTGTATGAAATTGTGGTATATCAAACTGTTTCTATAGTCACTCTATTACAGATGAAGTAATGTAACCAAAGTAATTTCGCCCTGGGATTATTAAAGTATTTCTAATTCTGATTCCTGGTTGATGGGACAGGTGTTGTGAATGAAACTGAGCCCAGATTGAAAGAGCTCCTGTGTGTTGCTGAATGTGTGCATTGATGACTGAAAGACATCTTCTACCGCCATTTATCGGTTTACTACAGTGTGTTGAATTCAGGTTAATGTGTATTTAAAGACATTTCAATTAGTGGAAAATATTACAGGGGAGAATATATATTAAAAAAAAATGTTATAAACCAAAACTTTCATGACCCCCATGCAGTACCTCTGTGGACCCCCTAGGTGTCCAAGACCTCCTGTTGAAGACCCCTGCTCCAAAGCATTGGTGAAATTATTTTGACAGGTAGGTTTGACAGCATTGTGTAGATTATTAGTCCACTGACATTTCTTTGGTGCTGTTTTTGCTTGGGGATTTAGATGAGGCTACTATTTATAGTTGTAAAAGGGTTAAAATAAAAGATTGATACATTTTTGTTGTTAAGATTATAATTTAAGTTTACAAACTCTAATATTAAAAGCATAGGATATAGAAATGCAATTTGAAATGCATATTTTTGGGCTTCCTGCATGCTGTAATTCTATATGTGTTTTTTTGTTTGCTTGGACGTACCGTACGTAAGAACGGAGGGGAAAACAGATATGCTGGAAGCAACACAGTTTTTGACCAAGTTTATATTATGAGAATGTGGATGTTCTCTTATTTTTGTTTTATTTTATCAAACATCACAAGTTGAAGAATATTATCTGGTCTCAAGCACCTAGATATTTAGTCACAAATGTAAGTCTAACGAAAGGTATGGCTTTCAGCATTAGAAACATAAAATCTACAATGCAGCAAACCTGAATGACGTCTTTCTTATCTGGTTTGTCCATTTAAGCAAAAACAAAACAACAAAAACACACAGGCATTACAAAATATACACATCTACAATTTGTTGCAATCAACCATTATTAAGTGCTATTATAAACATAATCTATATCCACAAAAAAAGAGTAAAATTCCTTTATTGATAACATTTTCTCTTTGGTCCTGCTCTGACTGACAAGGTAGAGCAAACGAGAAAGGAGACAGGCAGCGAAGGTCAGTGAGTTAATAGCCAACACCATTTAGAACATATAGTGCTGGTTTTTTCCCGGCTCCTATACCCTGTATCTTTCACCATATCGGCTGTACCGATGAGAATGGAAGAGAGCATTGATTGTGGAGCAGAGGAGGTCGATCTCCCGCAGCCTGAGCCCTGATTGATGTGCCGGTAGAATGATGAGATAACATTGTGGGTGATCTTTGTTTCTCAACCACCTCCCCCAAAAAGCAATTGCTGTGTCATATGGGAGCTATTGTTTGTCTTTTAAAAAACTGCCTCCTATCACCAAGTCCAAGTTAAGTTTCAAAGCTCCTAGATAAACCATTTTCCGTCAGTCAAAGAAATCCACTGGGCTACTTTTTCCAAGGTCAGATACTGTAAAAAACAAACCTCCTCTGAAAATTGCATGCGTCTAATGAAAAACAAGGTCAAAAACATGCCAAAGAGCAGCAACGCCATGTTCATTTTAGTTGTTTTTTTGCGTTTGGAAATTCTAAAGGTGATCTTTGCCATCGAAATCTTCTTTGAAGATCTTTAAATTTGTAAAACTGTTTGTATCCAGTGAGAAATAAACATAACTGTTCTCAAATTTTCAGCAAACCCTTATTAGCAAAATACCATTCAAGTCACTAATCCAATCAATGACCCTGCTATCCGAGCAGCAGTGGGTGAGCCGTCGTTAGGGAATACAGCATTAAAACCAATTTATTCTTCCATTGCTCTAAAACCAATATTTTCCCAAGTTTTTTTTAGAAAGATGAAGATTAAAAAAAAGAAACCCATGATGAATAGCTTCACATTATGATTTTTTCAGGGTTTACTATACAATGTGTAGAAGATTGATTACATCCCTGACTGTACAATACACATCTATATTGGAAATTTAAAGAGGTGTCCACCTATTTATATTGTTTAACATGATCTTGCACATACTGATGGCAAAAAACTCAACAAAAATAGAAGAACAGATATAAAATAGCTTTATTAAACATGCACTGGGTTATGTGTATAATATATCAGGTTTATTCCTATAAGCTGTCATGTTTCCCCTCCACCAGGCAAAACAAAACGCCACCTGCAACGCTTTACTCTGTAAGACTGCATCAGATTCTGCAGTTGTGGTTTTATAATCTTTAAAAGTAAAGTAGTCAAATTACTAATTTAAATTTTTTTAAGATGTCTCAAAGTAAGTTATTGATGTGTCAAATTCTAAAGCTGTCTAAACCCTCTTTTTTATGTGAGCTGTATCATTTCCATGTGTACTTAGATTTTGCAAACTTTGATCAAATAGTTTCTTAATTATTTGTACTTATTGTTACGATTTGGTTATGGATTGTTGACCCAAAAGCAGAGACAGGAAAGCAGAGGGGGAATTTCTTGGTGATTTAATGAAGGTTTACTGAAAACAGAGGCAGGTAATCCAAAATCCAAAAAGAAAAAACAAAGTCCAAACTAACAGGATACCAGAAGTCCAAAAATCCAAAAATCAATACAAGAAAACAAGTCAAAACGAACCAGAAACCATGTAGACATCAGGGGGATAACTATCACAAGGTGGAAGGCTCAGAGAGACGGAGTTGGAGGAAGTTTGACGAGGAACCAGCACTGAAGAACTGCACAGAGAGAGTATTTATGGGAGACTGAAACAAAGAGAGAGCTAACGAGCAGATTAGGAGCAGGTGTGAGTAGAGCAGAAACAAGAAAGGGGCAAGGGAAAAAACAAGAACTCAAGAGGGCAGCAGAGGGCAACAAATAAAAACCTGAGAACTGAAAATAACCAAAAAAACACAACAAAATAAGGATTAAACTACTAAGACTACAAAACATGGATTAAAGCAAAACTGAACACTCAAAAGAAAACATAACAGAACCAAGACTAAGACAGAAATCAGAATCAGAAATACTTTAATAATCCCAGAGGGAAATTACTTAATCCCAGAGGGAAATTACTGAGAAAAAAAACCAAAGAACACAATAAAATAAGAATTAAACCCTAAAAAAACTAGAAAACAAGGAGCAAAGAAAACATCTAAAAGAAAAAAATAACAGAACCAGAACTCTAACACGTATAAATGACTACCCTGTTGTTTAAAATTAAAATTTTTATTTTCTTGTAAATTTCTACCTATTCTTATCGGTTTTTGTGTTTTAAAATTTGATAAAAATCTTTTGCATTTAGTTCCTTTTTTCATATTTTTTTATATTCATTACACTTTGACAAGTACAAAGCAATGAAATTAACCCTCTGCATTTAACCCATCCCCTTGGGGAGCAGTGGGCTGCCATTGTGCGGCACCCGGGGAGCTTTGTGGGGTTAAGGGGTCTTTGCTACAAGGGCTCAGAGTGTCAGTCTGTGGGAGTGGGGCTTGAACTCAGAACCTCTGGGATCCGAGCGCAATGCCCTAACCACTAGGCTGCCACTTCCCAAAGTTATACGTTTATTTGATATTTTTAGTTGATTACTCTAAATATTTGACCACAGATGATCATCTACAGCAGTATTATCTGCTTCTGTAGCCATAGTTCTGCATTGTTTATATCTCAGTGATTCAGCACAGCTGAATAAAATAGATATTTTCCTGGCTGCTATAGTTTGATCACTTGTTGAGGAGGTCATTCAACCATTAGAATAGCTGTGAACAATCTTAGCAGGTTTGGGACTTTGTCCAGGAATATTTTCAGGGTTTTGATAAAAAGATATTTAAAAAAAAAACACACCTTTGCTAAAAAAAAAAAAAAACGAAATCTAAGTTCACACTATCATTAAACTGATCTATGTTAAGTTTTTGCAGCTGAAAAATTGTTAAAGCTTTCTTTAAAAAAAAAGTTACAAAACAATATCACATGTTTGAACAATTAGCTATTGTCAGAAATAAGTTATTTAATGGAGGAATGAAGGAGAAGAATATATTTAAACATTATGAGACCAAGAACCCTAACAGCAAGGATTTTAAGAGTTTGACTATGTAAGTCACATCAGTTATATTCTCTCCCAGCACTACTCAGTTTCCTTCATGGAACATTCTTTTGTGGTTTTTTTTTTTTAAAGACTGAAGGTCATTAGTTAGGACTTAATTTCATCATATTGGTTATGCTTGAGACCATCATTCAAGAAACATTGCAGACACAGAAGAAGAGTTTATTGATACAAGAGAATGAATGACAGGCTCCTCAGGGTTCAAAGCTGACTTTCAGCACAGGTCATGAAAGGATGAGAACTAAGAGGAACCAAGGAACGCAGGAACTGATGGAGCAACACATTCTTGAATTTGCTTCTTAGAAGCTGTTTCTCTTTAGGCTCCTCCTGATTAGGCTTGGCATGATCCATCTATGAAGAAACATCTGTCTCCTTCCCTTCTTTCTTTAACTTTCTGTCAAGGCTCAGAAGAATGGGACCCAGTTTTGGATTAGGAAAAACAGATCTGCAGTGAACAGCGAGGTCGTCTAAGGCAGGAAGCTCTGCAGGATGGAAACATGGGTTAGTGACCACGTTGATCTGGCGGAGGATGATTTTAAGAACGTGTGAGTCACAAACCTGGTCTTAGAGTTCAGTTTAGGCCCAGAGGATGAGGTTGATTCCGGATGGTCGTCTGCAGAGGGTCCCAGATGTTGAAGTCCTGGAGGCCAGAACATGCAGGAGATCAGATCCGAGCAGACGAAGGAAGACAGGATAATCCATAGGATGAAGCCAAAGCCAGTGTCGAACACGTGCCATGAGATCAGAGATCCAAAGAGATACAGGCTCAGAGGTCCAAAGGCAGATCGGGTCAGGATCAGGCAATCAGAACACACTAGATTGGTGAGAAGAATCTCACCAATGGCTCGAAACATCTGGCACTAATGACTGGCAGAACTGTTTTTGTTTCTTTGCATAATTCCACATTTCATGTGGAATTATTTAGTATGAACGATCAAATATCCCTGGTTATGGATATTCAAATAGCATAATTTTTATAATACTAATAATGATAATTTTGAACTTTATTAGTCTCACACTGGAGAAATTCGCCTCTGTATTTAACCCATCCCGTTGGGAAGCAGTGTGCTGCCATTGTGTGGCGCCCAGGGAGCAGTGTGGGGTTAAGGATTTTGCTCAGGGACTCAGAGTTGAAGCTGTGGGGATCAAACTGGGTCCTTGCAACCTTCTCATAGCACAAGCGCACTGCTCTAACCACTATGCCATCACTTCCCATTTTATGATAATAGTTAAAAGCTATGCAACAGTGAAATTTACAGTAAAATGTATACTGATAAATCACGTTGAAGCTCATGTTGACCTTTTAAAAATGTTTGTTCTATGGACCTGAACCTGTCTGAGTTCATTACAAACTTGATTGGAAGACATGCTCAGAATATTTAGTCTGAATTATAATACATATTAAAAACTGCTCATTAAACAACTCTTCTGGGTATTTTTAATGCCGTACTTTATTTTGGAAACACTTGTTATAAAACTTTAGGTCATTTCCTTCTAAGTGTTGGCAAATTTGTAATGAAACTTTACAGCTTATAGTAATGGGCATGCATGCCTGCTGTAAAACAATAATACCTCTTGCTTATTATATAAAACTGAAAGTTATTCATTTATAGCAATAAGAAAAAGTAAGTGATGACAGATTTTATGACAAAAGGCGACATTTAAAAATCAGTTTCAGCTACAATAAAAGCAACGTTTTCCCTGAACATTCTCTGATAAATTCATTTAATTTAAAGGAACAGACACATAAAATATATTATTAGAAAAAGCAAGGCCACAATTCCATCAAAGAAACCTATTAGACTATTGAAATAAACACACTAAAATGGGGGATACTATGAATAATGATGCATAAATAACAAAACAATTATAAACTGAACAAGGTATTGCATTTGATATTTTCTTTTTATTATGAAGATGGAACGGATGGTTTATTCCCTCATATATTTTTCATAACTGTTTTTAGTCATAGTTTCTATTCGTGGATGTAATTTTTGGCAAGAATCAAGATCAAAGAATGCATTAAAGCTACAAAAAGCGTGGTGGTGTTACAGGGATGGAGCCTTTAACCCATATGTACCTGAAGCCTCAAACTCTAAAAACAGCTGTTCTGAGTTCAAATCCCAATTCAGGAATGTTTCAAAATCTTTACTGTCCAGTAAAGGTCATTAGTGGCACAAAACTTTGAAAAAAAAAACAAAAAAAAAAAAATTTTCATACAAAAAAAAAATCTATTATAAGATTTAGTAATCCTGTCTTTCCAAATTTTATAAAAATAAATGGTCAGAATGTATAAAATCTTGGAGTAGTAAAATAGGAATGTTTTTACACTGTTATGAAAATGACTTTCTGGATAAAGTCTATAAATTATTTCATTTGTTTTGTTTTTATCTGCCTGTACAGTGTCCTTGGGTGTTGTGATAAGGCGCTTTCAAATAAAATGTATTATTATTATTATTATTATTATTATTATTATTATTATTATTGTCATGCTGAACTTTAAGCATTGGCAAAAACGAAAAGCTCAGTTTACTGGTTCATTGTATGTTCATAAAACAGATTATTGATAAAAAGGCTGAAATGGGTTTGTTTCAGATATTTTGGCTCAAACTCACAGTCCTATTATCTAGGAAGAGCTAATTGTGGAGCCACTTCTCCACCACAAAAAGATAAATCAGAGATGGTTTAAGTGTCAGCAGGCTCCTTCTTAGGTGTCTCCCTTTGGGGGGTTTTATGAGAAATTTACATGCACTCAATTTAAAGACATGTAGCCCTTCCTTCATTACTGTCAGACATGAATTCATTCTAAATATTTTCATTTTTCAGGTTAATTTAGATTATGTTAGGTTAGATTTCTAGCTGCTTTGTATTGCTCTGTCTAAAGATGTTTGTGGGTTCACTAGTCAATCCTGACGTGAAAAACACCATCAACTTAATGCCGCCCCCCTTATTGAAAAGCTGGGCTGATCTTTGCATGCAAAAAAGCTATCCTCGTTTTTTCCCTCAAAGTCAGTCATAGCTTAATACACTACAATTTTATATACAACTGAGAAGAGGACATATTTCCTATATTTCATGTCACTGTGTCTGATGACATTTGCAAGCTGTAATCAGGGTCTTTATGTTGCTTTCAAAAGGTTATGGCTTCATCCTGTCTGGGTTAGGGGGATTTCAGTCAATGTTGGCCAAAGACTTTTTTAAGGACACTCCCTCCAGCCTTTATTTTGTTGTCCTTCTGATCTGGAACATTTCTGAATATTGCTGCTGTGGGAGTGGATTTTCCTCTGTGACCAAGTCTCTGATTTGTGGAACACAAAGTAGCCTCAAATATTACCGTAAACTGATCTTTACCATTAACACCTCTAATACAGACAAAACAAGCTAACTTAAAGGAAGGTGCATTATGCAAACCTTAGCTTGATTAAACTTTATTTAAATAGCCACAATATACAGTGACAAAAGCTATGTCTGCACCATGTTTCAGGTTAGCATCCATAAAGTCAGACAGATTTCAGGTTTGCCAAGCAAACACATGCTTTCTCCATCGATAAAAGATCCAGTGAAGACATGCATTACATCCATGCAGCTCATGCTTAGTGAACTTGATAATAATATGATATGTACACTTGCTTTTATTGAGCTATTCAGAAGGCATTAAGTTGTGGCTCTGCACTCTATGCACTTTAATTTTGGCTGTGGTGCCTTCACCAAAAGCTTCGGCTTTGTTATAATACAACTACAAACCTGGTATATTTAGTTGTTAGGAAATGTCCCTACTTGTCCAGATGAATTCAATCATACACTGGAAAAACGAACTAGAAATAAGTAAAAAAAAAAGTATTTACCCTTAATCTGAGTAGGTACAGTAAATTAGATAGTTTGCCAATGGAATGAGTATATTTACTCTTAAAATAAGATAATTAGATTATATGCACTTAAATAAGACAATGCATTTGTGTTTTCTTATTTTAAGTGTAAATTGTCTTGTTCCATAGGAAAATGTCTCTTTTACGTTCTCAATCCAAGAACAAATGCACTTATTTTAAGAAAAAAGTGATTTATCTAGATTTCGATTTTTTCCAGTGTAGGAACACTGTCACATTTGGAAATGTTTTGTTGTTGCAAAATAAGTATTAGAATGTTTTATGTTTTTTTAAACAAGATATTTCTTCATAATCTAGCCTCCCTTTGTTTAAGTTGAAATGCCTCAAAATATGAAAATGTTTATTGTATTTTATTATTTTTTTCTTATATATATATATTATATATATATATATATATATATATATATATATATATATATATATATATATATATATATATATATATATATATATAAATTAAAAATAGATAAAAATAAAAAAAATGAAAATGTTTAAAGTGAATACTTTGGTAAGAATTTTTAAATCTTGAACTCTGAAATAGATTATTATCTTCAATATAACGCAATTTAATGTAAATGGTTGTGGCTATTTATTAATAGTTTTTAAAACACAACGACTAGGATATATTTCAAATCAATATATGGAAATACTTTACACGTGAGAGAAAAATCACAGAAATAAATCGTCACATTGAAACTCCGCCCACTTTAAATAAACAACCAATCAAAATTCTCGATACACAGCTCGCTCACCTCTTTGTCCAATAATGTGGTACGTTTTAGAATAATACGTAATGCTAAGGAAGTGTTCACTTTTCTGCAGCCGTGTAGTCCTGGCCTTGTTTATATGAGGCTGTAGATAAGCCGGGTTATAAAAAAAGAGTAGTGAAATTGTTCAAAGCAGCCCAGATAAGCGACATTTGGGAGAGCCTGCGGTCTGACAATGGGAGCTAACAACAGTAGCCACCGAGTGTCATTTGAATCAGACGAGAACGACAACATAACGGTGGTGAAGGGCATACGGGTAAGTTACCTACTGAGAGGAACAGGTGCTGCTCTGATTGAAAGGCAGAGATGCTAACCCCAGGCTGCAAACACACTGTTATAATTAAAATAAAATAACACAGAAATCAGTCAACTGTGTCTATTTGCACGCTGAAAGGTATAAAGGTATAAACTTGAAAAAAATGAGTAAGTTTTGTCTGTATAGTGTTTGTTTGGAAACATTTGAACCAATGTTTAAAAACAAATGTTGGTTCAGTATATTTCACTTAGTTGTTCCATGTTTTATATGTATTATATGTTTTATTATGAGCCTCTGTTGTCAGACTCACCTGTGTCACATTCACTTGATGTTAAAATTAGCCTGAGAGGCTTTGGTTGATCACGTGACACATTAGTGAGCCTCCCTCTGTTATTACTCATTTGTTAAGTCAACATGGAGAAGGCTTTTCTTTATAGGATTCATATTATATTTGCAATTATTGCTTGGCATTAGATCAGTTCAGGGCTGGCCCAAGGCATAAGCAAACTAAGCTACTACTTAGGTTCCCCAAGGAATCTGTTTTATTTATTTTATTTTTTTCCCCCCAGAATGATTCCTATATCTATACATTAGAAAAAAAATCACAATTTCAGGATTACATTTTCTAAATCAACATCTTTAATAATGTAGAAATCATCACTTATATATGAAAAAAAAGTAGTCTTTGGGCCAGATTTACACAAGGACAAGTTTAAACTTATCTGAGGCAAATTCATTTTTGGTGACAGTCTGATCGTGGTGAGATGGAAAGCCATAGGCTGCGTTCATACCGCAGCCTGAAGTGACCACAATCCGCTTTTTTTGCCCAAATATGACCTGGATCTGATCTTTTCATGGCACTCTGAATAACACAGATCTTTTCCAATCCGACCCAGTCCACTTGGCTATGTGGTCCTGAATCCGATACGAAATTGATCTTTTCAAATGCGACCTGTGTCTGAACGGCCAGGTTGCATTCATCTGACCTGAACGCCATTAGGAACCGACATAGGTCACTATTCTGCGTCTTGCTACACAGAAGCGGCAAGTCAAATAAACACCATGGTGGACGATGATGAGGAGAGCAGTATTTATGTTTAACCATCTTGAAAAGATTGAGGTTTTAAGGTTTGGAAAATTCGCTAGATGCACTCCGGCACTACCATCCATGTTTACTTCCGTAAACACAGTGCACACTGGTCTGTAATGTCATTGCGTCACACTTTAGCTGAATGAATTTAGTTCAAACAGGAGATCACATACAAGACGCATATATTTGGAAATGTTAACGGCAGCGCAAAAAAAATCGGATTTCACAAAAAAATCAGAATTGAGCATCACGGCCTGTAGTGTGAACATGGCCTTAGTCTCTCAAAATGATCTGATTCCACCCAAAACGTAGGATGGCCTGCACTCATCCTGTGACTCCAAAGCGGAGCTTCTCCAAACTAAAATCGATAAAGAACTGAGATCTTCCATGGCAGAAGAAAGATGGAGTGGCAGTGATTAGTATTAACAACAACACTGGCTGACTGATCTTTTACAGTAATTTCATCTTTGACTTTGCAAACAGAAAGCTGCAGGTAAAGGTTTCAGTGAATGACTGAAGCCTTAAAGAAGAACAGGGTAACATAAAATGGTTTATGTTTCACATATAGTTACATAATTCTTGCTTATCTAACTATACACTATGGTTAAGGTTACTTTTTATTTATAATATTTAGGAACACACCTTATATTTTATTATTTCAATATAATTTTATTTTTGTGCAATTTACATTTAGTTTTCACTTATCAAAGCTACTTTTATTTGTTTGTTGTCTTTTGTGCAACACAGGTTATTTCTGTACATTCCTGTGGGAACCAAAGTATAAACCCTGAACTCTATTACTGTAAATAAACTGCACTCTAGTTGATTTTATCACTTTTGGCCAGATGATAGCTACAAATAGAACAATGTTAACACTAAACAGTAGTTGGTGCTGCAATGAGTTTATATTAGGTGTGTGAATAATCAAATCATCCAGCAGTCGATTACAGATTGGTATAGAAACTGGAAAAGTGTAGAATTTGGTTTAGATTTTAAGTCCAGCATTTAAGGAAAAGGGAGGATAGGATGCAGACAGCTATCAGTATTTCTACAGTTTATCTTGTATTTCCAGTGGTCTTTAAGTTTCAGACAACAGTTTGCTCTCTATTCGTCTCTCCATTTATCATTATTCAGTCTGTCTGGCTGGTTTCAGTGAATGGATCTTTTCTCTACAGAATCCATTTAGTGAATGGATCTGCAGCTAGACTCTGCAGAACATATGGACAGCTTGAAAAAAAAAATAACGGTTTGTCTCAGGTGTGTTGGAGCCAAGTAAATGCCTATTAAAACCAGAGTGCTCCCCCCTGAGGACCAGACTTTCTTAACTCTGAATTAAAATAACTCTTCCAGTTAGAGTTAATACTAAGGAAGAGCTTCAAATGTGTTGGAACAACACCTCACGATGAAGACTTCTGATCTAGAGTATAAACAATATACACAGCTTCACAGAATATTCAGTAAGAAGTCTGAATAAATGCAGAGAACATAAAATGCACAGTTGGGGGCCCAAATTGGCAACGAATTGGTTTTAATTTTCCTACTTTCCCATAAAGCTGCATTAAGAAGTGATCTAATTGGGATGAGAGAATCTTGGCTGTACCCAAGGATCATTTCTTCCTTGTTTAAATGCTGCTTTACAAAGAATGGAAGATGTTTTTGCTTACAGACTAGCAGAAGTACTTCTTCTCATCAGTAACCATTCAGTTTGCTTAGAAAGAGACTTGATTTGGCTCTTCAAATGTATTTTACTCTGAAAAAAGGTCAAGAGATGACTCAAAGGGATGGAATGTGCAGACAGAAACAGTGCAGCGTTTTAATTTAGGTTGAGGTTGGTTCCTTTTTTGGATTTCCTTGCAAAACGTTTCGATGACCACTAGATGAAACGGTTTTTAAATGCAGCTCTGCAGCTTTTCTTTCTGAAAGCTACTTAGAAACAACTCATGGTTACAGACAATGCTGCAACATGCTCTTCTTTTGAACTGAAGTTTATATTTTTTCCCATTCGTTCTTCAGTGTTTATCTTTGTTTGTGAATGTTATTGCTGCAAAAAAACATTATTTTTGATATCTACAATTGTTTTGTTTTGTTTTACTCTCATCTTTGGGGCTACAAACAGACCTGCATCGTTTTTTTTGGTTTTTTTTTTTACAGTAACTTCTTTTATAATTGCTCACTGTGAAGAATATTTTTGAATTTATCTTGAGCAAATGTTCATTGATTTTTGGAATTTCTTCTACTCTCCTTAGAATTGATCTGAAACTGACAGATTATATTCACTATAAAGCAAAATTCCAACCTTTGAACATCTTTCAGAAAACTGTTCAATACACGTTTACTGTTGCTGGACAATTTAATTAGGGCTGAAACAATTGATCATATTAATTGTAATTAATCTATTATTGAAATGATCATCAACTAATTTTGAAATTGGTTAATTGGTATATGGAGTACAGAGACTGTAAAACCTGCCTTTAGCTGACAGAGAGACCCTCTTAGAGCAGTAATTATATTAAAATTGTTTAAAAAAAAGCTATTTAAACATTTTGCATTTAAGATGAAAAAACATTTTCGTCTGTCAATATGCTCTATCCAGAACTCCTCAAGTGGAAACTTTTTAGTTTCTCCTGGTTTAATTATTTAAAAATATTCTTTAAGCAACCTTTACTGTCCAATATAATTATTCCAAAAAATAATTGATAGATTATTCGATTTGTAAAATAATCGTTAGCTGCGGCCCTACATTTAATAAACTCAGGACACATGGAGATTAAGCTGCTTTGTTAAGATGGTACCAAAATGTTACTTGTTGGCCTGCTTGTAAAGGGAAAATAAGACATGCATAATCTGCATTTTATCCACTAATAGAACAGAGAAATTAAACATTATATGTGAATAGCCTAGTCAAAGTCAAAGCATAAATTAAGTTTTAAGAAAATGAACATATTTGTTAGATCCTAACTGACCTCTTGTTGTTCTGCACTTGAACAAAGTTTTGCTTTGTGGAAAATTATGCGCTACTGATTTTTTTTTTTTATATATCCTTTAAATAATTTTTTTCTTCTCGTTTACAGCTTTCTGAAAATGTGATCAAGCGTATGAGAGAGCCCAACGCTCCAAATAAACAAAGTGCTCCCACTGCACCAGCCGTCACTCCACCTCCACTGCGACCTGTTCCTCCCCTTGTTGACCTCCCCACCTCCCTGCCTCCCCCCCCTCCTTTCGTAGAAGCCATAGCACCTCCACCTGCCACCCAGTCTGTGGCAGCGCCTCTTCCCAAACCTCCCACAGAACAGGTAGCAGAAAACACCAAGGTTGACTCGGTGCTTTCTCCTCCTTTTTCCTCAGATTCTGCTTCTGCTTCTGTAACCAGCCCTGCTGCCACACAGCCCCCTCCTCCTGCTCACACTGAACGGCTCACTCCTGTTTCCTGCCACTCTTCAGGGGTGGTGGAAGCTGTACCTCATCTTGCACCTCCTCCCCCTGTAACTGAAGCATCTCCTCCCTTTACTCAGCCCATTACTTCTTCTCCTTCAGTAATCAAACCCATTCCTCCTGCACATACCACTGAGCATCTTGCTTCTCCACTTCTTCCTAAATCAGATTTAGAATCCCCGTCTTCCCCTCCTGTTTTAAAGCCTATCAGCATCCTGCCTGCATCAATGCTTCCTTCAGGGGACTCTTTGCCCCTGCAGTCTGCTGAGCCTTTAGATACATCTCATCTGCCTGAGTTTACTGCTGCTTTTGAACCAGTTGCACCTCCTCCCCAGCCCACAGTGGAATCATTATCGTCTGCTCCAGAGTCCGAGCCAGCGGCAGTGCCTCTGTCAGGTCCAGTTTCAACACCTGCTGCGCCACCAGCAGGTGAGTTTCAATTCAAGCTGCGCAAAGGAAAAAAAAAATGTTTGTCGAAAAAGGTAATGAAAGGTTATTTTGCCCTCTTGTAATTAAGGTCTCAACAAAAATCTAAATTTTTTGGAAACAATGCTTTGGTAACTGTAGTTAAAACAATTAAAGCTTCATCATTGAATCTATAAAATGCATTTAAATCTTGGTAATGTTTTTTTCCCCCTCTGACTGTGTTCAACATGGTTTCTGTGACATTTTTAATTAAAAGGCAGAGGTTATTTACTAGCAAACATGGCATGGATTTGCATTTCATTTGGATTGGGCCTATTGTGCTGGTGTTTAGCGTAAGCCACCTTAAGCTGTTTGCCTCCAAGTTTTCACTGTAATTATAATGAGTCTTAATTTAAAAAAATTGGCCTTGCGCTAACTTCTGTCATATAGTGATTTATTGCCATCCACCAACTGTTAATGATGTGAATAATTCTGGTTTTAATCAAAAAGGTTACTGAAAGTGCAACACTGGGTATGAGCAGCATCTTTAAAATAGTTTTTATTGTCTTGTTTTTTTTTGTCTTAGCTTGTGTCCTTTTTGTGACCTCTGACAGCTGTTAAAGCTGGGAACACAATATACACGGCTCCAAAAATAAAGTGAACACTTAAATAACATATCCTAGATCTTAATGGATGAAATATTCTCATTCAATAATTTGTTCTGTACAAAGTTGAATGTGCTGACAACAAAACCACAAAAAAATATCAATGGAAATCTAATTTATTAACCAATGGAAGCCTGGATTTGGGTTAAAACACAAAATGAAAGTAAAAAAACACACTAAACTTGATGTAATATAAGTGCACATGAAATGTAGCAAGTTGGATGAAAAGATTAATAACCTTTCTTGCTTTCTATGGGAGCTTAACACATTAAATTATCCAAATAAAACATTCAGGTTTTAGTTTTACTTGATGATCCAAATTTCTGTTAAGGTAGATGTTAACATCTCACTAGAAGAGCAATCTCAGAAAAGGTCACATATAGATTAATTTTCTTGATGACAGAAAGAGCGGAGAAGCTTCATAATATTATGAAATTTAATGTGCATTGTCTAATTTAAAGCGCATAGACTGGATAGTACCTGTGGACTAAATGTTGAGACTCCCACTCTGGTTGGTCTGTTTATGTTGTAAAAATAAAAGCCTGCAAACAGCATAGCTTTGTGCCCTAAAGACTTGAGACTATGTAAAGTCATTGTTAATGGCTCACAATTTATATTAGCTATGACAAAAATTAAATATTAGTAACATTTTATCTTAATACTGTATATCTTCTAAGTCCCTGTGATGGCAATCAGAGTCATAATAACTTGCAAGTTTTTGTGCCACCGATCCTTGTAGCGGTCTTGCAACTCTGCTCTAATTCTTGGGGTAAGACAAGCAGCTTTATGATAGCCCAATATTAATTTGTTGGCTCGAGTAACCGTTTCATGCTGCGCTATCCACAGGTGACTACAGAATATTTATTTATTTTATTTTGGAGGTTTATACATGGCAGAGTCAGCAAAATGCCAAAGAAAACCTGTGTCAGAAGAGGAAAGAAAGAGACCTCAAACAAAAACGAGGATGCAAGGCTGATGCAGACCTGTTATTGGACTGCTAAGTATCTGCTAACCTCTGTTAGTGTTACTATTAGGACTTTGGGTGATCATTATCTAGCATGCCCCTATAAAACATATACCCCTTTCCCCTGGCTGAAAAACCTGTTTAAATCTGGGAACAATCAGCTTTTAGTGGCATTGGGAACAGCTCGCTGACCTGTGTAGAACCGTGTCAAATGACTTGGCTAGTGATCCTCGTTAAAATCTTCTTCAAATAACTGGGACACAGCTTCTCATTCAAAGAGTTTTCTTTATTTTCATGACTATGAAAATTGTAGATTCATACTGAATGCATCAAAACTATGAATTAACACATGTGGAATTGTTTACTTAAAAAAGTGTGAAACAACTGAACATATGTCTTATATTCCAGGTTCTTCATAGTGGCCACCTTTTGCTTTGATTACTGCTTCGCCCACTCTTGGCATTCTCTTGATGAGCTTCCAGAGGTTGTCACCTTAAATGGTCTTCCAACAGTCTTGAAGGAGTTCCCAGACATGCTTAGCATTTGCTGGCCCTTTTGCCTTCATTCCGCGGTCCAGCTCACCCCAAACCATCTGGATTGGGTTCAGGTCTGGTGATTGTGGAGGCCTGGTCATCTGGCGCACCACCCTATCACTCTCCTTCTTGGTCAAATAGCCCTTACATAGGGTGACCATATTTTCATTTGGGAAAACCAGGACACCTTGGAGCGGGGGGGGGGGTTGGGGGGGGGGGGGGGGGGCGGGGGATGGGGGGGCGGTGATTGAAAGAACAAATGTCTCATCATCGGGAATTGGAAGTTCAGTTTAATATAATACAACTCTGTGAATACTTCCGTCTGAAATGAATGAAAATAGTTGTTTTAATGGTTATTGAGTCAGATATGTGGCGGTAATGTTTGATTTATCTAAAGGTTTTAATCTGTTACTGTGTAAATGAGTTTGGCTGTAATTTAAGGACAGATTCTAATAGATCTGCAGGGTGGGGACTATAAATCTGATAGGAGTTACATTTTTTTTATTGTTGTTTTGCACAATATGCTTAACTAAGTATTTTTTGTTGTTGAATATTAGAGATTTTGCAGATATATTTTTATACATACATTGTTTAGATTTACTTATATATTTCTAACCCTTTTATAGAATAGAATAGAAAATCCCTTTATTGTCCCACAATGGGCAGATTTACAGCAGCAGAAAGATTATTGAAAATGGTCACACAAATGAGGACCTTAGAAAAATGTATAAGAATAACATAATAGGGAAGAGTTAAAATATAAACAATAAAATACTGTAAAGTGTTTTAACAATATAAAACTGGAGAATAAATAACCAATATGCTGCTATGGACATTTTTACAATAATGGATATTTGAAAATAGCAGCAACATCAGAGATGTGCAGAATGACAGCAGCAGGTTATTTAACTGACTAAGGTTTCTATCATTACATTTGATTTTATTTGTTCCTGCTCCCGCTGGTTGGAACATTTATTCCACTCTGGATTCTTGTGAGTGTAGTCTTTGTTCACTTTAACTTTAAAAAAAATATATAAACAAACAAACAGTTTTAAAAACCTCGGTATTCATACTTTTCCTGCTTTGTGTGTCAACTTTCACGGTTGCTAAACAACAGAGCATACGACGGTAAAACCCGCTGAAGGGTGGACCTGTTCAAATTTACAGCCAAAACTCTTCCGGCCTCCTCATTTTCAAGGACTTCGAAGGATCCAGTCTAGGTAGATCGCGTCCTTGGAGGATGCAGCCCAGGTTTTCGAACAGAGCCTCTGATTAAAGACAGGGCTGCCCGCACTGACGTGGCTCAGGGATTACGTCACACGGAGCGTCGTGCGCAGTGAAATCAGGGCATTTCCTCACTTTTTAAAAATAACCCGGGACGCCCGGGACAGGACGTGAAATACGGATATGTCCCGGGAAATACGGACGTTTGGTCACCCTACCTTACACAACCTGGAGGTGTGTTTGGAGTCATTGTCCTGTTGGATAAACAAATGATGGTCCAACTAAACCCAAACCAGATGGAATAGCATGCTGCTGCAAGATGCTGTGGTAGCAATGCTGGTTCAGTAAGCCTTTAATTTTTAATACATCCCCAACAGTGTCACCAGCAAAGCACCATCACACCTCCTCCTCCATGCTTCACGGTGGGAACCAGGCATGTAGAGTCCATCTCTTCACCTTTTCTGCGCCGCACAAAGGCATAATAGTTGGAACCAAAGTTCTAAAATTTGGACTCAGCAGACCAAAGCTCAGATTTCCATTGGTCTAATGTCCATTGCTTGTGTTCTTTAGCCAAAGCAAGTCTCTTCTGCTTGTTGTCTGTCCTTAGCAGTGGTTTCCTTGCAGCTATTTTACCATGAAGGCCTGATTCACAGTCTCCTCTTAACAGTTGTTCTAAAGATGCTGCTAGAACTTTATGTGGCATTGACCTGGTCTCTAATCTGAGATGCTATTAACCTGCATATAGCGGCTTCCTTAAAGATCCTTTAGGCCGCTGAGAGTTCGGGTCGGGTCCTCCTTTCTTGCCCTATTTGTGACGCGCTTAAATGTTTATGTTCTTACAGATACGCTGGAATCCAGGATGCTTTTGTTTGTTTATTGTCACCAGCATGAGTTAATGACAGCGCAGCAGGGATGATTGTGGCAAACAAAGTTAGATCCGTTAATTGATATAGGAAACGAATGAATACTGAAACAAAATAATATGAAACGCAGTGAAATAAAGCGGTCAAACAAAATTACGGCAGCCCCACCCTTACCCTGTCTCATCAGTGAGACAGGTGAGTGCGCACTTATACACCTTCTTCCTTGGTGCACACCCACCTCCCTTTGAGTCTCCACCTCCAAGACACAACATACACCACATAACCATTTATGTCTCCTACACTGCATTTTCTGAGGCTGGTGACACGGATGAACTTATCCTCCGCAGCAGAGGTTACCCTTGGTCTTCCTTTCCTGGGGCGGTTCTCATGTGAGCCAGTTTCTTTGTAGCTCTTCATGGTTTTTGCGATTGCATATGGGGACACTTGCCAATTTTTGACTGACCTTAATTTCTTAAACAATGATGGCCACTCGTTTTCTTTACTAAGCTGCTTTTTTCTTGCCATAATACAAATTCTAACAGCCTATTCAATAGGACTATCAGCTGTGTATCCACCTGACTTTTGCACAACAGAGCTGATGGTCCCAACCCCAATTTATAAGGCACTTATTAAACTGGATAGGGGACTCCTGTGAAGTGAAAACCATTTCAGGTGACTACCTTTTGAAGCTCATCAAGAGAATGCCAAGAGTGTGCAGAGCAGTAATCAAAGCAAAAGGTGGCTACTTTGAAGAACCTGGAATATAAGACATGTT